ATTTCAAAGTTTATGGGTAGTGGTTTCGAGAAAACCAAGAAGGATATGCTGCCAAGTTATGAACGAATAGCTTAGCCAACAGAGGGTTGTGTCGCGGTGATGTGGAGCCTATACAGACCGTTAATACTCCTAAAGTACTGACAGTGTCGTTATTATTTCTGTGACAGGTTGGACATTAGAGCAAACCAATCAAACGTTTACTAATGTCATGTTAATAATAAATAAAACAGAACTAATAGACAATCAGCATTTTAAACATCAGTCACAGTTACAATATGCCATTGGATACTGTATGTGGCTCACTTTAGGCACCTTAAAGAGGTTTAGCAACTTGATGACGGTCTTATTATTCAAGCCTGATGCTGTACTTCTTTTGCCCAGTAACTATTCCTATGATAGACCCGGATAGCACATTTTATAGCACTTCAGATAGCATAGCCTCTCGTAAAACATCAAGCATGCCTATGCTTGAGTGTACTGAAAACCTTGTTGATGAAATGGAGAGGCGTGAATAGACAAATACATACGTCTACACTTACTATCTCTAGAGACGATCGACCATGCGGAAATTTCCCAGCTCAGAAGACCATCAGCCAACCAGCTCTTAAAGATTGAAAACTCCCATTAAAGTAGTAGAAATGGTATACAACGGGCTATTTAACAATTAAGGCATATAGTGTTATTTATATTATCGTTACCGTGATGCTCTTGATGTTTTAAAAATTAGTTGGTGGATGGGGTTATGCCTACGAGCGCCAATAATCTGCATCGCGGTCGAGGATTTTCAATGAGGAATATATTGAAGTCAAAGCAAGAGCTAGGGGACCTAGAAACTATCACGCAGACGCTAAACCGTGAAGGAAGCTTGATTCCATGAGGTCTTCCAGGGATAACTATGCGGCCAGAATGGACAAGCAAGTCTATATTTATCAGGGGGACTTCCGCTAGGGAGACTCTTTCTTAAGTTAGGTCGCAAGTAGTATAGAATATTCTATTTTCAGATTATAAAACCTCCACCTCCTATACTGGCTCTAGAATATTTATATGCAGCATGATATCATGACACCCACTAAACTGAAATGCCGGCTTCCATGCTTAGCCAGTCTTTCAATGTCTGGCTCGGAATTGTGAACCGTTCGGAAATAAACGACGACGTGTAAGCATGTTGCCGTAGAAGGATACGGCGTATTCAAGACAGACTCCTTACATACTTAGCTAGTCTGGGCGCGGCTATCGCTAATTGTAATGTGCACGCAACCACATGCTTTGTGTATCCTCCATTGTCCTTGCTTACATGACGAGATTGGTCGTTATGATAATTTACTACCCAATTAGGCAATTACAGGTACAGCGCCAACACTTATGCTGTAAGACGAAGTCCCCTCGACGGCTTATCCCATTTATGTAAGCCAGGAACCTCGCCTAGATGTCTTGGCTAGCTCAGCCATACAGATGACACACCATGACGTTATGGTAACTACTTGTAAGAAGCAATGGGCAGTCATATGCAGATCTCTACCCCTGGACACTACTAGGCAGCAGTCCCAGCCCCAGAGAATGTCTTGGCCATCGCGTTTCCTAAAAGGTAATAGATCTAGCACATGTTATTAGAAGGCTAGCCAATAGAATTAAGTTCTTTAATTACACCGGCAATTGTTTCGATGGGAACGTCCATACGTATTTTGAGGCCATGGGCTGTCACAAGAGTGCGTGCCGTATGAACTCACTCTTTTGGAGTCTAAAGGTTTAATTAATTTCGGTTCGATATCACATTGCATATAACAAGACCAAGCGAAGGTTCCCAAATTGGTAATTGTGGCTTGTTTTCAATACGTTATTTTTATATCACGTCAGATTAGAGTTGGACGCCAAGGAAAACCTCATATACGACGTAACCTTTCAAGTTGTGCTAAAGGTAATAGACGAGTATATATGGCAACATATCCCCCTACACGTTAATCACTCTTGCCTTTCAACATAGTAGCGCCCACATAGCTTTTTCATTCTCGGTTTTAACTCTTCCCTCCTTCCGATCTTTGTTCGATATCATAGACAGCTTAAAGACACCTTGAGGTTATTGTGGGCTTCAATTCCCTTGGGACGTCATGACACCTCTTCGACTCCCTTCTACTATTCAGGCCGCTACTTTGGCCTTAGCGGCCACTGTACATGGAAAACCTACACACCAAACACGAATTAAAGGGCGAGATTACCCAACAACTGGTATACAATGGCAGCCGTGCACAGCTGATATCAATGACGTGGCGGCTTTACCCGTCGAGTGTGGCACCCTCAACGTGCCGCTTGACTACACAGCTGTTGATAGTACCGAAACACTCGAGTTGTCACTCCTCAGGGTTCCTGCCATCAAGAACCCATCGAATCATAGCATTCTGTTTAATTTCGGTGGCCCTGGGCTGGAGGTGCGTCGATCTTTAGCCCAGCTTGCTGATATGTTACAAGTGTGGTGCGTATAAAAACTTTCTGATCCTATAATCAACCTAGTTTCGTTCGGTCTAGCAAGTTATAGCGCTTGGGCTTAAAGATCTCAGCTAACATGTTTTAATGTGCACAGAGACCTCCCATCCGATCCATCTTATTATTCCTACCTGTGATACTTTTGCAGGTTTACATGGAAAGAGGGGGTAGCCTAGGGAATATATGCAACGTAATATAGCTAACACGGATCTATACAGTGTTACTGGGGGCGAGCACGATCTAATCGGGTGGGACCCCCGTGGGACAGCCAACACATTCACATTCTCTTGTTTCGCCGATGCAGCTAGTCGGGGTCAACTTGCTTCTCAGGCCACACTTGGTAATGCCTCGGACGTTGCTTATGGCCAGCTCTGGGCAGCAGGGAAAAATTATGCGGATGCCTGTGCAGAGTACCCTGAAGCCCAGGAGAGGGCACCTCTAATAGGAACGTCTTTTACGGCTCGTGATGCTATGCAAATTGTCGATGCCATAGAAGAAGATGGGCTACTAAGATACTGGGGTGAGGGTCCCTTGTTTTTGTCGACAAGAGAAGGCGGGACTCGACAACTGACATGTTGAGAATTTTCAGGTCTTTCATACGGTACTGATCTTGGAGCCACTCTCGCGGCTTTATTCCCAGACCGCGTCGAGAAACTCATAATCGGTAAGTATGGAATTTTCTCGCCTGAGCTACGTACAGATCGAAGAGACTAATAACTCGTTTTAGACGGTGTATTTAACCCGATCCAGTACTTCTATGAGAGGTAAGCCCGTTTACTCGGGAAGTTCTGTTCATTGTCCTGCGAGATCTTGTGATTGACACCGCTCTAGGACCGACAAAGAGGGCTATGCATCTGCTGACGACACTTTTTCCGAGTTCCTTCGCCAGTGTGTCGCGACACCTAAAGTCTGTAATCTCGCGCGCAACCATCCCAATGCTACGGCAAAACAGCTCGAGTCGGCAACCTACGATCTCATAGAAGAGCTCAAATTTCGCCCCTTCGCCTATAATGGCTCTATTGTTGGATACTCGGAATTGAAGAGCGCTATTCGATTCGCACTATACACCCCTTATACCTGGTTAACTCTTGATAACATCTTGGACGCTTTGCTTGCAAGCCCACGCAACGAGACACTTGCAGGATCCAGAATTGCGAGTTATTTATCTACATCTTTAGCCGGGGAAACAATTGCCGACGACGCTGGCCTTGGCATCGAGTGTGTTGACAAGGCACCACGTTCAAACTCGTTTGATGTGATCAGTGCTGCGCTCGACGAAGCCCAATCAGTCAGTCGTCTACTAGGAGATACATTAGCTGCATTGGTTACGACATGCGCACAGTGGAAGCTAGAGCCAAGGGAACGATACATCGGCGGATTCGCTAGGGTCAAGCCTCGAAAGCCCCTTTTCGTCATCGGAAATACCTATGACTCGGCTACATCGATTAAATCAGCAAGGAACATTACCGAGACCATCAAGGGTAGTGTCCTGCTCGAGCATGGTGGTTTTGGCGTACGTAAACCTCTTCAAAAAATACTCCGTCCCATGTTCTCATCTATCTCTACCTGTTCTTAAGCCACTGACGAGCTAACTTGCTTTGGAACAGCACACCAGCATTCAACAACCTTCTCTTTGCACGGCTCGGGCAATCCAGAACTTCTTCCGTAATGGTACTCTGCCAGAGCCTAACACCTTGTGCAAATCCGTCAACCCACCTTTCGACTTTGCCAAATTCGGTCCAACATGGCAAGATCTATTCCCGCAACTGGGGTTTGAGTCACTCAATAGCACCAAGTCCACCCACATGAAACGAAATGGCCGTACTGAGAATGTTCTTAAATATATCAGCAGACGTCAGAACAACGCCTTCCATTAACAGAAATAACCCAAGGAGACTGGGTGCATTATCAGGCAAGGGCCCAAGATCAGAATGTACTATTAGATATGTAAATACGGTATTCCATTCTCACTTTGTGCAATAAAAATCAATACTAGAAATACGATCAGTGATGACCGTGACAAATAAACAGAACTCACAGTAGCAAGCACTGTCCGGCAACAACACCATTCGTGATGCAACCGATCATAATCCTTAGAACGAAGGGCGTTCATATATATAGCTAGAGACTAACCTGGGAAGGTAATTTTAAGATCTCCACTCAATAGAGCCCAACATTGACAGTAATCAACGAGGTTTTCAACAAGTTGAGCTGGTTATTATACATTTTATTATAAAGTTTAAAATAAGTAACCCTCGTAGTTGCATGTTAAGAGATTCTCTCGATATTGTACTTATATGTGTCCTTGCTCCTGATGCCATTCAGAATCTAGAACGTTATTATATCTAGCCCATACCCCCCAGTAAACGAGACCCTGTTTTCTACCAGTATTTACACCACCAACACCGGTAAGCTGGCTCGTGTGTTACCTTTCCTAACTCAACTTCAGCGCCTTGCCTGAGTTCTTGTCAAGCCGGATTCTAGCGGGGGATTAGGGAAGCGCGATATCCATCCAATCTGGTGCCCTGGTAGCTCAATTGGTTAGAGCGTCGGACTTTTACAACATATCTACGTATGATGGTGTCATCCGAAGGCTGCGGGTTCGACCCCCGCCTGGGGCGTTATTCAGTTGTGAACGATGTGTAACTACGTACACGGATATCACGTAGTTTTTATTTTACAAGCTAGGGTTGATTAACATTTCATCTGTCAACCTATCAACAAGTATAATTTTGCCCCCTCCTCGAATTGCTGGTCTAAAAATTTTGATCCAGTTTGGTTCGTCATCGACTAGGTCCCAATCTTCAACATCTTGTGCGGTGACACCGTCGTACGCCACATTGAAGCTGTAGCTCTGGAGTCCAGCAAGCATCAATATATTCAGCTGCAGGTGACGACCCATCTCCTGTGCCCTATCTACGAGCTGGAACTTGCTAAGGCATCTTCTCTTCGTGTTGAGGTCGTGACTATAGATTCGTAGATCCAAGAAGACACTTTCCAGCTTCGGCATCTGAGACCAGGATAACCATAAGTGAGCCGACCTGTCAAGGTCTAGTGCGTTGTTTATGGCTTCGATTTCCTCATGGCCGACATGTTCTGCCAATCTTAAGTTTTCCGCATTCACTTGCATTAAATGCAGGGGAGAATGGACTGCAATATGTCGAATATATTGGTGAATTGGCACTGGGGCCAGGGCCGATCTCATCTTGACAACATCGATTGGCTCGTCATCAAATGGTAGGATAGCCTTCAATCTATGATTGCGAAAAGGTAGAATGTCTCCCCAATCGCTTCCCAGCGCCTCCTCGATTATCCCGCTGTCAAGATCACTTGTACCGAGAGTGAAAACATGGGTATGGCTGCGCCAGAATTGCCTTGTGTACTCCGAGGAGAATCTGACGTTAAGCGCAAATGCTTCTAGATCAAAATCTGTATCAGGAGTAAGTATATGATCCTTGTCCTCGTGGCTAAATTGACATGAAAGGGTACCAACTTGAAAATCCATACTTCGTACATACGTTACAATTCGAGTGATCCTTAATAATTTCTCGACTTGGGGCGTTTCTCTTTCACAGATATTCCAATCCGGAACCACGAGGTTGATAGCACACTTGGGCGGCGCCACTAAGGTCTGCGAAATGATCATTGCCATGATTTCGAAGGGGAGTGAAGTTATTCTGTCTATCTCCCTCTTCTTTCGATCACCAAGGCTGTCTATGTCCATTGGCATTAGTCGAGTATCCTGAGGCCCATCTCGATCAATATCCATAATGAAGTTACTCGGCCTGCGATAACGGAAATTAGCTGGATCGCTCCGGGGGGGTTGAAACATACCCATCTCCGGAGCTGCCCTCCGCAAATATCTCCGAAAGACGGCGTCGCCGTCTGCTGGAATGTGAATTTGGTCGCCTTCAGACTGCCCAGGTTCAAGGCTCGAAGGCGGAGATTGTGAGCTGTGTACCGATCTGATTTCTTCTGAGCCCTCTCCATAAGAGATACAGGACACTCCATGCATAGGCCAATTCAGCGCAAAGTCGAACGCGTCAGTGGATTGTTCACCATCAAACTCAAGCTTTGGGGGCCGGTGACAGTGGCCACCGAGCTGTTGGCTCTTCTGTTCGAGCATTGGGGCTAACTTATTCCGTAAATTTCCAATATCGCAACACAATAGAACGTTTCTTTTTATATTAGAGTAGGGACATACAACAATGAATGTGACTCATCTATCCCGCTATGAAAATGGTCAGGGGCCATCAACCACAGACGGGGTCCTTACCATTCTTACATAGGAAGTGCCGTGTATATAGAGAAAGAAGGCGAATTGAAACAGTTTTGTTGAATAAACGTGCTGTATCCTGGTACCAAACAAGGAGCCTTGTTCCCATGGCTTGGCATATTCAACCCATTGTTCTACTAGGACCCCTCTCACTCTTTGTTAGCTCACATGGACGAAGGGGAAGCTAGGGGTAGATTTACAACGAATCTATGCCACCATGATGACCAACATACGAACAACAATCACATCTTCTCATCATGGCTATCCTCTTGGCCTTTATGGAACTGGCATTTCATGAATCAATTGTTTCTGTTCGTTTATTCATGAGCAACCAGCCCGATGTTGGTACTGCGGCTATGGCCCCGTTCATATTCCATTTAGAAACCCCGGGACTCCTCGCCATATACATATTCTGGTATTTCCCCAATCATCTTACCGCATTGGATGCGCAACTAGCCGGCCATCTCCCCGAATGGAACACTAGCAATAATTCATATCCGACGTCCAATGAAATGTCCAAGAAGCGATTTTACCTGTAAGTTCATATCTATGCGTTGCCGCTCTTGTCGTCATCTGCCAGTGCAATGTCCGCGGCTTACTACTGACTATTCCTCGGACGGCTACACCTTTGTTGTACTTCCATCTCCTCCGCTACTATTTATGATGTAATAATAGTGACCTAACAAATTAATTCCCAGCGACTAAGTAATTAAGTACATTACAACTGATTACAGGCACAAGAAGGGGGACGCTTAGCTAATCTACTGCTAGTTGTACGAATATATAGACGTAGATATGTAGATTTTCCTTCAACTCAACCATTATTAACTAAATGTGATCTGAACGTTGTGTGATGCTACTTTCATATCCTTGTGGTAGATAGCAAACTGAGTAGATGCTCCCGACGGTATTATTACAACCTCATATTCCAATTTCTTCAATCTACTACCATTCTCTCCCCAGTAATATTCGAGAGAATCGAATGTTATGTCGCTACTGTGGCTCCAGCTGATTTCGCACAAAACCTGCACATTTTCATTTTTCGTCTTTGGCGGGGAGTCGTCGTCGCATTGCAAAATCTCCACCGAAAGATCATCGTCGTCTTCGAATTCTTCTTCCGTGCGATAGGTCTGATAGAATTCGTGACGAATAGGTTCATCAGTCGAAACACTCTGCCCCTGACATCAGAGTTAGCGGCCAATATTTGGAAAATGATTAGCTGCCAACGAGCACACAAACCTTTCTTAAGTACCACTCCATTTGTTTCCTGGCTCGCCAAACACCTTCCTTGTCGTCCCAGAATCTGTCTCTTTTTCTATGGACACCGTCCATGAAGATAACAGAAGCCGAGACACCAAGATTCCGTCTCGATATCGTCGAGACGACACTGACGTGAGATGAGACGCCTCCCGTCAAACTGGGAACATCCAGAAAGCCTTTGAGAATGGCTCCTCTACAGATTGCAGTGCGGCTAAGAGGTGGTGAAAGTTGTTAGAATAGTTGACTAGCAACGCGAGGGGAGATTACGACATACGGTCTTACTCCACTACCTTGTAATACCTGAATGTTCTTCGTGTCATACCGAGCTTTGAGGTGGTTGTACAAGTAAGGGCTTGCTCCAAGGCCCCCAACTAAAACAATGCCCTGCTCGGGTGTCACAATAACGAATCGTCTATTGCCTATTATTATGCGATTACTCACATTTACGAACAGTCCTTTGTCATGAGATTTCTGGACCTGACCATCTACGAGGGCCACAATACTCGAGAATGAGCGCGTGAAAGCTGACTGGATATCCATGCTATATCACCGAGCGCTTGGTTAGCAGAGATGAAACAGTGTGATAGTCCCTAGGGCTATGGACCCAACATACTTGGAGAAGTGGATTCGGCCATCTTTGATGTATGGCTTCCGGCTCAGGTCGTTTGTACTTGAGCCTCTGAGAGCCTCACTTGGGATACCAATAGGAAATTCCCGATTGGCATCTATCCCTGTGTACGATGGCTTGTAGACATTTTCCCATTCTTGTTTCATCATTAACTTAATCCCGGCTTGACTGAGGTTGTTCCAATTTCGGCCCAACCGCTGTTTGCAGAGACGTTCAAACTGTTCGTCGACGAAAACACCGCCACAGAGACCGCCTGAGAAGAGTAAATTTATTGTTAGTGACGTTGTGGCGGCGTTCAAGGGGTGTATTTTACCTGTGCCGACAACGGCCTCGTGCAGTTCGATTGGGTCCAACTCCCCAATCCTATAACTAATGAGATCCTTTGATATTCAGCCAGTCAGATAACACGTGGAGCTTAATTGAGCATGGGTGCTTACCACAGTACCACCGCCCGCGTCACATATGACATAGACATCGTCAGTCTTGAGAATGTCGCCATGTTCCCAGAGTGTTACAAGACCTGCTGCCTCGGGCTCTGGAACAAATGACAAGGTCGTGGGACCTGCAGAGCGGTGATCAAGAATGCCTGCCTTAGCTGCTGCTTCTTTCATACTATTACGGGCGTAGTCTTTCCAGATCGCCGGCACAGTAACAACAACATGAAACGCTAGTGCAGCAATGACAACTTTACTACGAGACTTGTGAATAGTCTTAAGAGTATGAAGCCATAAAAGCCTGAGGTAATCGGCAATAACGTCTGTGGGAGTTTTGTCGATTTCTTGGAGCTTCCGTTTGGCACGAATGTAAAAGTCAGACTGTCGCAAGTCTCCTTCCAAGTCTTCATCCCGTAGCAGGAGTAGTTTAAACCACAGTGCCGGATCTGCATCAGGAGGGATTTCGTATCCCCACAGTACTTTGTCGTACTCATAAAATAATTCTGTAGGTACTTTACCTTCATCACGGCGACTTCCTGGCCAGGAAGTTATAAGGTTAATCTCATTATCATCCAAGTCGTCAACCGTGGCCCACGATACACCAGAGTACCTAGGTAAGTGTCAGCATGGAGGGAACCGAGAAAAGGCTTTGCTTACGTAGTTCCGAAGTCGATTCCAATGATTAATCTGTCGTCAAGATTCGACTTTTTCTTTGCTTTGATCCTTTTCATCAGGCCTTTCATAGACCAGCGTTCGTTAGGTACATCGGAAGTCTTCCGCAACATCGTTCTCGATGTAGTATTGCCGATGATATCACCTAAAGTGTACGAGATCAATGTGAAGTATAAATTACGCAGCACCTACAGTTGGGTGGGAGATTTGGAGCTGTTAAAAGGATAGATGGTATGAGAGAAGGTACTGGGAAAACCAGATGGGCTCTTTACCGCAATCAAGTTTCAGTGCTTTGTAACTTCTTCCCTGAGCCTTATTCCCTTTTAAAAAGCTTTGGGTGAATGTTTAAAG